ATTCTTCTGATGATTAATGGCATTGACTGTTTTTTCATGTTTATTGGCCATTTTTCTCTCTTCTTTTGACAGTTTCTGTTCATGTCTCTCGCCCAATTTTAAAACTTTTGTTTGTTTATTTGTTTGTTTCTTGAGACAGAGTGTCACTATGTCACCCTTGGTAGAGTATCATGGAGTCATAGATAAGAGCAACCTCAAGCCCTAGGCCTCAAGTGATTCACTTGCCACAGCCTTCTGAGTAGCTGGAACTACAGGCACCTGACACAAAGCCTGGCTATTTTTAGAGACAAAGTCTCACTCTGGCTCAGGCTGGTCTCAAACCTGTGAGCTCAGGTAATCCAACTGCCTCGGCCTCCCAGAATGTTAGGATTATAGGCATGAGCCACCATGCCTAAATTGTTTTTTGTTTCTTTATTGGTAATTGCATAAGTTCTTTATAAATTCTGAATATTAAGTGTGTATCAGATAGGTTGCTTGCAAATATTTTTTCCCATTCTGTAGGTTGTTTTCTATGTGTATGAAGCCAGTATTACCTTGATATCAGAGCCAGAAAAAGACAGAACATAAAAGAAATCTATAGTCATTCCTTATACACATGGATACAAAAATCCTTAATAAAATACTAGCAAACTGAATTTATCAAAACATCAAAAGAAAAAAACATCCAGCAGAATGAAGTGGACTTCATTCCAGGGAAACAGAATGATCAAAGTTATGTAAATAAATAAATGTGATTCCCCACATAAACAGAAGCAAAAATAAAGACCATAAGATTTCCTTAAAAGATGCAGAAAAAGTATTCCACAAAATTCACATCCTTTCATGATTAAAAAAAAAAAAAACACACAACAAACTAGGCACAGAGGAAGATTTCCCAGGATTATAAAAAGCATATATAAAACCCACAGCAAACATCATATGGATTTGGGATAAGTTGAAAGCATTCCCTCTAAGAAATGGAACATGACAAGGATGTCCACTCATACAATTTCTATTCAAGAGGGTGCTTGAATCCTAGCCATAGCAGTCAGGCTAGGGAAGAAAATTAAGGGTTTCCAAATCAGACAGGAAAAAGGCTATCTATCACACTTTTCTGATGATATGATGTTGTATATAGAAAACCACAGAGATCCCAGAACAGTTTTCTCTAATGTTACCAGAAATTTTTTCTGTAGTAAGTCTTTGGTGTCAGAGTTTCAAAGAATGAACCCTTGGGCCACAGCAATTAATAAGACAGGATTTATTAGATAGAATGGACTAGAAGGAATGAAAACACCAGAGTCTCTGGCAGAGGGGAGATCCAAGTGGGAAACCATGCATGGGTCTTTCATCTAGGAGCTTTATACTTTTTGGGGAATTACAGCTGGCCAGGACCTGGTAGACTTCAATGTTGATTAGTGACTGAGGGTATTAACAAATGAATGCAATTCCTCCTACTCTGGAGAAGAGGAGCAGGAGATATTCAAATAGTGCAGGTTGTAGAGAAAAATTCTATTTGGTTAGGCCTGGAAAATGGGGGAGGGTCTTTTTCCAGCTTTGAATAGGGGAACATTGTATTGATAATGGATGAATGAATTCAGTAAAATCTCAGGATACAAAATCAATGTACATAGAACAGTGTAATTCCTATACCTTAATAATAGTTAAGAATCAAATAAAGGCTCAATGTCACTCATGATAGCTACAAAAAAGAAACTAAGTATATACATAACCAGATGGTAAAAGAGCTCAACAAAGAGACTATGGAACCCATAGGAAGAACATGTAAACGATATAAACAAATGGAAAAATACATCATGATCATGGACAGGTAAAATCAACATTTTTTAAATGTCCATAGTACTCAAACTTATTCATAAATTTAATGATAGTCTCATCAAATTGCCAACATCATAACAGATTTAAAGAAAATAATTCTATACTTCATTTGGAACCAGAAAAGAGTCTGAATAGACCGACCAATCTTAAGCAAAATGAACAAATGTGGACACATCACTTTATCAGACTTCAAATTATACAACAGGTAATAGTAATCAAAACAGCATGTCATTTGTACCAAATAGAGACATAGACCAATGCAACAGAAAACCCAGATATAAAAAAACCATGGACCTACAACCAACTGGTATTTGGCAAGGCAGAAAACAATATACAATGGGGAAAAATACCTTACGCAACAAATAGTGGTGGGAAAATTGGATAGCCACCCACAGAGGAATGAAACAGAACTATTACCTCTCAACACTCACAAATATTAATTCAAGTTTGATAAAGGAGTTGGATCTAAGGAATGAAATCATAAGAATTCTAAAGGATAATGTAGAAAAAACTTTTCTAGATATTGGCCCACACAATAAAAATTATGACTAAGACCCCAATGACAATCATATCAACAATAAATATTAATAAATGGGATTTTTATATTTTCTTTAGAAAAGCTACTGATGAGATTGTTTATAAAGGAAAATTCAATGTTTCCAGCTTCCTAGATATTTGCTGAAATTCAAAGTTGTTAGAGATGGAAATTCTGGTTTATAAATGTTGTTCTTTACATGGGGTATGCACAGGTGTCATATGTATTGTGAAAGAGGTACACTTATTGAGAAAATATAGATATAATTTTTTCTAATTCAGAGATTATTTTTAAGTTGATTATATTGTATCATCTACAATAAATTGAAACTATAGGAATTCCTCAAAATAATTAATGAAAAATATCAGTAACTATCTATTGATAATGTTACTGTGTTAGAGTTTTTTCCATCTTAATAGAAGTGACATGACAAGAATATGAAAAGACATATGATATTAAAATTTAGCAACCTAGTCTGAAAGGGAGTCTTAGTCATCTAAGGCACACTTAAAACTTAAGTTGACATATTTGTGATTCAGATGAAAAAAAAGTGACCCACAAGGGTGGTCAAGCCTTTTCTCCCATATCTTGTGGAACACGAACACAGCTTCTCAGAGTCACTTACAATGGACAAACTAAAGGACACACTTTAGAATTTTACTTTGTCCTTGTACTAAGAGCCCGTGTCTCCTGCTTTGGGAGATGTTTGACAGATAAATTGATTTCAAATGAGCCCATATGTGAGAATTTCCTGTGCAGACCTTGGGTGACGCAATGATGACAAATCTACTTTTTCCACTCTCGCAGCACTCTGAGCCTTTGCAGGGCACTCTGTGAAGATCACAGATATTGTTTGTTCTTGTCCAGAACTGATGCCTTTCCATTTCACCTTTTATTTCTCAGCTGCCGTGGGCCTTTCTCTGAGAACAACCTGGGTTCTGCGCTAATGGATGTATGACCTTATGGGTGTGGAAGGTATGTGTTACTACGGTCTATCTCTCAACTAGCCTTCCTTATTTTGTGGAATATTCTAAGTACCAGGTATGATGCAGCTGAGGAAAATTAATATGCAGTAGAATCAGAGTAGAAACCAATTTCCTTATTTGAATAATTTGGGCTAAAAATCTAACATGTGAAATATGTTGGAGTATTTCCCAAGTTCGCAGATTGCTGCTTGTAGAGACATCAAGACATTTATGTGGGTAAGTTAGCAAACATAATTTAAGGGAAACCCCTAAACATTATCACAACAAACAATTAACTTCGGATCAGCCATCATTACATTGTTTGACACTGAATAATAAGATAATTCATACTTAGCTTGCCCTCCATAAAAGATTATTAAAAGGAAATACTTTAATGATGAAAGCTGAACATAATTCTTCAGCAACTTTTATTAAAACAAAGAACATTTTATTTTTAATTATTTTTAATTAAAATAAGGATAAGGTAAATTACATAATGCTGAACTTAGTATACAATTGAAAGATGTCAAAAAAGTTGATAAAATATTGCAGAAAAATGTACCAGACTGATGTAAGCAATTTGTGAAATGATTTATTTTCTATGCATTTACGGCCATGAATCAGAAACAATAAAATAGCAATTTTGAATAAAATAACTATAGAGCTAATTTTTACAGAGAACTCTAGGTACCAGCTTGAGTGGTAGATGTTTTATAGACATTATATTTTGTAGGATCTTATTCCTATTTTAGATTATGAGGCCAGGTTATTAGATACTAAGTAACTTTTTAAAGGTCACACCATGTGAATTGCAAAGTCAAATTTAATTCTAGAACTAAAGGCTCCAGAGCCGAGTGACTAAAGTATGACATTACATTATATGAATTGATGAAAATACTCAAACCACTAAAGTGTCCTTTGCTGACCCTAACATAATAACTTTCTGGAAGTCTGAAATAAAAAAGTTCTTCCATAGCTGATACACATTTTCTATTTATAACTTATGGTTTCATATTTTAACAATAAAATTAACTGCCAAATCTTCTGTAATTAAGACTTAAAGATATTTTGTAGTCTTTCTAATACTGTTTAAGTTAATGATTTCTCAAAACCCTTCTGTTATTCGAACGAAAGTCCACTTAAACACTGCGTCCATTTTAATAAAGAAGCGTAAAGCACAAAATAAAAGTAATTTAGTGCACAGGCTGAGCTATGTCAACTTTCCTATTCTCCGTTTTAAGATCACTCAGTCTTTAACCATTATAGACTTTCAAAATTTGATTTTCAATCAGTACATATATTTTCTAATACAACATTTTAATTTTTGATACAGGTATTACATTAATGTAAAAATGTATTTTTCAATCAGACTTTTAAAAATATGTATATATTTATGGAGTTCTTTATTCCTTGCTACTTTTGCTTTTCATTATTCCAACAGCAATGTTTTGAAAAATGTAGACAATTTTATAAAAAATATTTTATTTAAAGACAATTGGGTAAGCTTTAAGGAAATTAGAGTGAGAACTTTAGATTCTTCAATGCAAAATGGGAACCAATGCCCACTCTCCACCTCATCCTTTCGGACTGCACTAGGGTTCTTGTCCTTATATAAACCATTTACTACTCTCTTAAGACCAGGTATCATAGAGCACAGTCCCTGACGTCTCACAGCTGCAGAGATGGATAACCAGAGAGTGATCTATTCTGAACTGAATCTTCCCCCAAACCCAAAGAAGCAGCAAAGAAAACCTAAGAACCCTAAAAGTTCCATTTCAGAATGTGAACAAGAAATAACGTATGTGGAATTACACCTTCAAAGAGAAGTTCAGGATTTTCAAGGGGATGGCAAAGCTTACCACTGCAAAGGTAAAGCTCTTAATAGCTCTTCCATGCAACTGTCCTAGGATGGGCAGTTGTGGTGCAAGGGTGTGGAGAAAGAGCAGGACGTGCTCACATAGTTTATTTCTTTTATTTATTTATTTATTTTTTGAGACGGAGCCTCAAACTGTCCACCTGGGTAGAGTGCCATGGTATCACGCTCACAGCAACCTCCAACTCCTGGGCTCAAGCGAATCTCCTGCCTCAGCCTCCCAAGTAGCTGGGACTACAGGCTCCCGCCACAACGCCTGGCCACACATAGTTTATTTCTAAAGATCAGAGTTCTGAGTTGACATATACTATTTTAATATGAAATAATCAGACAAATTTTACTCACATGTTGTTGAAATTTATAGTCTTTTTCCAACAACTCATGGGGCAATACATTTACTGAAAATACAGTGGTATATTCTGAGAGAAAGATCCCTGTGGTAGGTGTGGGTTTGGTGATTCTTTGTATATCTGGGGTCTCTTGGGTCCCTTGTACGTATTTTAACAAACTGTCCCCATCTCTCCTTTTTCAGTGTTTCCATTTCTCTTCCCACAGGCTTGCCATTCCCTCCAGAAAAGCTCATTGCTGGGATCCTGGGAATCATCTCTCTTGTCTTAATGTTCACTGTGGTAACCAGACTTGTCATTCCCTGTAAGTATGTTTTGTTTTACAAGAATTGTTGAAAGTATCTCTAAACACTTCATCAGATCAAGCCATAGAATTCTCATTTTAAAGTATGTTTTAGACTAAATGAGAATTGATTATTCAGAATTTTTCAAACTATAAATACAAGAATAACTGTAAAAAGTCTTTGCTTTCAATTATATGTATATATTAAAGTTTCATAGGGGTGCCTGGGGCTCAGTGGTTAGGGAGTCAACCATATGCTTCGTGGCTGGTGGGTTTGAACCCACATGGGCCTGCTAACCAATAAACAAAGCAAACAAGCAAACAAAAAGAAAACAGCTAAGTGTTTTTGTGGGTGCCTGTAGTTTCAACTACTAGGGAGGCTGAGGCAAGAGGATCGCTTGAGCCCAAGAGTTGGAGGTTGCTATGAACTATGACACCATGGCACTCTACCAAGGGTGATAGAGTACAATAAATAAAAAGAAAAATCATAACACAGATATATTTTAGGAGTCTGAAAAGATTATCAATAAATAAAAATTAATTATTAAAAGTTGTTGAAACAAATAATTCCAGTATTACAATATATGAAGTATACAAAAATGGTAAAGTATGGTTTTGTAGGCTCTGAAAAGATTTTTTTCCTCAAATCTTCTTTACTTTACTTTTTCTAGCTAAAATCAGTTTTACCACAGATAATTCTAAGTGATATAGCATATTTCAAAGACTATAATTATTGTGACTTATTTAGATATTAATTTTTAATAAGGATTACTCTAATTTTTCCAGCTCCAATAGCACAGACGCAGAGCAATTCTTCGCAGAACATAGGAACTCAGAAAGGTACTGATATTAGTCATTTTATATTTTGCTTTGATCTTTGGCTGTGCAAAAATGATAATAGATATTTTTAAGGGTAATAAAATAATGAACAATAAATATCCAGAGGTAAAGGTAATGGGGGGCATTCTCTTATCTTCAATAATTAGTATAAATACTAATGTGAAATTGCTACACCCTCTTTTTGCTATTTGACTCAAATTGCTACTGCTACTATTTGGTAACAGTTAAATCATTTTGATTTTCCAAGAAAAGTAGTTTTGCCAATTAGTTTTCAGACATTTGAAGGGTGGATTTTTGTTTGATGTGTTTCTTTATATTACAATATAATTAGGGAATGAGAGGCTGATGCTTTTCTGTGCATATGTATGAGTGCTTTTCTTTAATATATTTATGAGGATATAAAGACAGGTACACACATTTTTGTACCTTTGAAAATGTGTAAACTAATAATAATATTTAAAAATCTTATTTTGGAGATAGTAATTCATAATTTTTCCTTAGCATATCAATGTAGTCGTTGTCCAGAAGAGTGGTTCACATATTCTACCAATTGTTATTACATTGGTAAGGAACACAAAACTTGGAATGAGAGTTTGATGGCCTGTGCTTCTCAGAACTCCACTCTGCTTTACATAGATAGTGAAGAAGAAATGGTAAGATGTTAAAAGTTTCAAACACTTTCATAGAAGCTTATTTCAGTCAATATTATTCTGTTGTGTGACTTCACCGGTCACTGTGTATTTCCATTTATAATCTAATGTATATTTAAGTATTACCAATTGTCGCTGCTCATGGAAAACCATGTTTCTATAAATACTTTTATTCTAAATTAAATTTTGCAATTTAATTGTACAATGTAGAAACACATTGTGAATGTGCAAGTTCGTCACAGAGTGGACTCCTATAATACACATCAGATAGCAAAATAGGAGTTTCTAGCCCCAATAGCCCTGCTCATGTGAATGGTCTCATCACTTCTCCTCCCTCCTTCTCAAACCACTGTCCTGAATTTTGACATTACAAACTTTACCAGTTTTTGAATTTTCATAAGTGACAATACACATTTTCACGGCTATCTCCTTTTATCCTGTGTGATATATGTTCACTTCACCCATATTAATTCAGTGAGCTGCAGTTCTTAACTTTCACTAGAGTATTATCCACATGCCCTCAGGGACATAGAGTCTTCCTAGATGGAGCAGAAACCAGTATTTTTGGCTTCTGTGTCTCTTATTTCCTTAGTGGCAGCCCTTTCAATTCCTTTCATAATGACAACACTGAGAAACATAATAGAAATATACTTTGAGTTTATATTAGCATCAGGAAAAATGCATGTATTGGAAATTTATTTAAATTCATACTATATTTGTTTTGCCAACATGAGTTGCTATTAAATTACATGGGTCATAATTTTCAAAACTAATATAAGAAGAAGAATGAAATTACTAAGTATTAAGTGTTTAAGAGTTCATTTTAGCCAAAATTATAAAGTGGTTTTCAACTTTATGCTTAAAATATTAATTTTGTTTTGACAATTATAGATCTAATGAAAGAACACAGTACTTGCACTTTTAAACATTTGTAAAATTTTCAATAATTATTTAATATAGAATATTTATGTTCCTGTAGAAATTTCTGAACTCCCTGTTTCTTTGGTCATGGGTTGGAGTTTTTCGTCAGAGCAGTGGTCATCCATGGGTGTCAATAAATGGCTCAACGTTCAAACTTAAGTAAGTTTTTTTCAATGGTGCTATCTAGTAGAAAAATAATAAAATGGATAACAACAGAAGACTAATATAAGTAAGTTTAAGTTGAATTATAAACATTTAGAAGATGCTGAAATTTAGGGAAATGTTGACGTAAATGTTAGATTGGACCACAGTAGTTTCCCCTTATCAATGGTTTCACTTTCTGTAGTTTGAGATAAATGTAGTCAACCATAGTCAGAATATTTTGAAATGAAAATCTGAGAAAAAGGCATTATATGAGTTCACTGTTCTGAGTTCGTAGCAGTATGAAATTTCACATTGGTGCACTCTGTCTTGCCTGGGCCCTGAATCATCTATTTGACCAGCAGATCTACACACTAGAGGTGACCCACCTATCAATCACACAGAAGCCCTCTGGGGAGCAGACCAGTTGTAATAATATTGCAGTACTCGCATTCAAGCACCTCCTGTTTTACAATAATCACCCAAAGACAAAGAGTAGTGATGTTGGCATGCTGTTATACTTACTGTTTGGTTCTATTACTTACTGTTTTAAATCACTTTTTGTACCTAATTTCTAATAAAACATTATATGTTTACATATAGAATAAACACAGTATATAGTAGAGTTCAGTAAAATAGGTAGTTTTAGGTATTTACTGGTGGTCTTGAAGCACATCCCTTATAGATATGTGGGATTACTGTGTTATTTTCATGATAGCAATTGCGTTGAAACTTACTAGCATTACATTGAGACTTCCTTAACTGTATTTATGAAATTCTTTTCTTAAATTACATGAAAAATGCTTTTGTTTAATGGATTGTCCCCACAAAATATGACAGAAATATGTTTTTCTTCATTACAGCATAGAAGAAACAGGACTTGGTGAGCATAATTGTGCTTTGCTACTACTCTATACTCTTCAACCAGATGTATGTGGATATTCAACAATTTATATCTGTAAGCACAAGCTTTAGAAGGAAAGCACCTGAGTTTGAATTCAGCTGTGCAATTTTATATTTTGTGAAATGGAAATGTTATTTTTATTGAATATGTCAACATGAATTGTTATTTGTTCATAAATAAAAATATTTTTGAAAAAATTACAGTATAATACACATACCACAAAGAACAGGATATCATCTCTTTTGTATCTGGCTCTGTTTTGCTAAGCATTGCATGCGTGGCATGTCACCATTTAAAAGTTGCATGTTATGTACATCTGTTTATATGAAATATCAAGAAGAGGCAAACCCATAGAGAAAGTGGAATAGTGGTTGCCAAAGGCTACGGGGAGATTAGAATAGGATGTGACCACAAATTGCTACATTTTTTTCATTTTGGGGTGATAAAAATTTTGTAAACTTCAGAGGTGATTTTTGTTGTAAAACTACAAATATACTAAAAGTTTACTTCTTTTTAAACTTAAACGGATGAAAAGTACACGATCTACATGACTTCTCTATAAAAACTATTTGAAAATAACTCTCCTGGGATGATGTTTTGGACTGTCCTCTTTATATTCTGCCTCTAAAGTTGACTTTTCCAAGCATAGAAGATTGCTATGTCTGGCAATCTATTAGGTTTTCTTTAACTTCTCTCTGTTGTATTTTGTATTTTTTGATATTGAAGTAATATAGAAATACAGATATTTCACATTTATGCTTTTGTAAATAGCATCCTTATTTTAAATTTTCTTTAATTATTTTGTTGCTGTAAATAAAAATACAGTTGAGGTTTGCATGTTGATCTTCTCTCCAGTTACTTCATTCTTTTTGTGTATTACTCCTACAATTCATGTAGAGAGTTTTCTGGATTTCTGTTGTAAACTAATATTTTGTCTGTATTATTCACACTTTTTCCCCAGGTGCCATAAGTTTTTTTAAATTTATTTTCAATGATGAAGAGAAAGTTTTTTGCTTTGAATAAATGTTGGACTTTTACTATTTTTGCAGCATTTGGAACTATCTATATTTTCTCTGTATAATGTGTATAAATTATATTACTTTTAAATGTTAAATCAGTCATGCGCTTCTGAGATAAACTCATCCTGGTTACTCTGTATTACCTCTTTAAAACTATCAGAGCAATATTATATTAGAAGTAAGATTTATTTCTTCATCTATGTTCATAGGAAGATGCTTTTATTCATTGCTATGTGCTTGAACACTCTTGCTATCAAGACTACACTGGGAAGCATTTCTTTTTGAATACCATGGAAGCCTTTGTATAGGAGTTCTATTTTGAAATATTGTTATACACTAGTGAGTGAGGTTAATACTGGAATTTCGCTCTTCAGTAGGGCCTTGGTTTCAGAGATTCAAAGAATGAACCCACAGACCACAGATCAGTGGTAAGATTGGACTTTTATTAGAAGCTAGAAAGGAATACAGAAGAAGCAAAAAGCACCAGAGCTTCTAGAAGAGGGAAAGAACTGAAGAACTCTCCCTGGAGTCTCCACGTGGGCTCTTTTATCTAGGGGTTTTAAGTCTAGAGGATTACAAGTGGCTGGCAGTTGGTCCTTTACAGTCTTTGTCCCTGAGAAGGGATTAGGGTGTGTGCTCCTACCCAAGGTGGAACCACCCCAAACCCATCACAGGCTGTTTTGTTCATGATCTTATTAGAGCCCAGAGGGTGTTTCCGGAAGACGGCAGTCTGTTTGTGCCTGGAAATGGGGGTCTGACCTCTGAGCTCACGTGGGCCTAGAGAATGGGGGACTCTATGTCTAGCTTTGAGTGGTGGAATCATGTATCAAGGTGATCTGAGTTTGTAGAATGTATTTGGAGGAAGGTTATACAACAAACTCAATTTGTTTAGTACATGTAGATTTACTCAGGTATCTGTTTTCTTAACTATAATTTGGTCAATTTGCATATTTTAGGAATGTTTTATTTCAAATGGATATTAAATTATGTTTATAAATGAATCATCACTTCTTTTTCATCTGTAATATCCAAAAGATATTCCCAGAAACAATCTAGAAATAAAATATTTGTGTCTTATCAGATGTTTTTATCAATTTTTTAATGCATTTTCAATGAAAATGTCATTGGCTTTGTTGATCATGTCTAATTGTACAGTATGATTTAATACTCTTTGTTATTTTTTTTACTTCACTTCTACTTAATTTAAAGTAATTTCAACTTCAACATTTTTTTTTTGATGCATGTTAAGATAATTCTGTTTCTGAATTTAGTTTTTATGGTATGTATATTTATGGCAACCAATTTTTCACAAGAAAGAAATTTACTCTATTTTATTCATTCATACAATTGAAATGGCTACTGATGCAAGATTCCACCACTGATGGCTAGACAGGGAGCACCACATTCTCTAGGTCTAGGTGAATTCAGAGGTCAGACCCCCATTCTCAGGCACAAGCAGACTGCCTTTTTCTGGACACACCTTCTGGGCTTTGATAAGATCATGAACAAAGCAGCCTGTGATTTTTTTTTGAGTGGTTCCACCTTGGATAGGAGAACACACCCTAATCCCTTCTCAGGGACAAAGACTGTAAAGGACCAGATAATCTTGCCCTAGTGAAGGATGAACTACATTCATACATTCTGACCACATTTAATTCTCTAGACCTAATACCCCTAGATAAAAGAGCCCATGTGGAGACTTGCCAGTGAGTTGTTCAGTTCTTTCCTCCTTCCAGAAGATCTGGTGCTTTTTACTTCTTCTGTATTCCTTTCTAACTTCTAATAGAAGTCCTATCTTACCACTGATCTGTTGTCCATGCATTCCTTCCTCTAATCCCCGAGACCAAGAACCTACTGAAGAGTGAAATGCCAGTATAACTACTATCCATTGTTTTAATTTCTTTGCCTCTTATTTTCTTTAGTAATTTATGACAATTAAAATCATGTAGAGTTTCAAATTTTTGCTTACAGACTTCTATTTAAATAAACTGTCATTAGGGTATTTATTGTGAAGCTTAAAATGGTCTATATGTTTCTTCTAATGTAGTGTGATAGCAGAACTGGTTTTAAGTGTTATTTATTTTTCATTAATTATTATTGAACCTGACAGTCTATATTACATGTGGCTACTGGCCCAGCAGCTAGACACACTGTATTGGGAGCACAGTACTACATTTCATATTAACTTGCTTAGAATTATGAGGTTATAGAATATTCTTAGAAAATTTTCCATGAGAACTTAAAAATGTGAGTATTCTGTATTAATGTAGTTTATGTGTGCACATGCCTGCTTGTAATGGTTATTTGTCTAGTTTAAATCTTTCTATAAAAAAAGGATCAGCATTGATCCTTGATTGAGCCCAGCATTTTGAGGTTATAGTGAACTGTCCTCATGACACTGTACTCTAGCCTGGGTAACAGAACAAGACCCTGTCTTAAAAAAAAAAAAAAAGAAAGAAAGAAAAAGAAAGAAAAAAAAATAGAAAGAAAAGAAATAAAGAGCTAATCAAAATCCCTGCATTGGGGAAATTGTGGGATAATAGCTGACTAAAAGCTGCTTTTGCCAGAGGCTAATGCCCAGAGGGAGAGATGTTGGACTGAAGAGGATAGAAGCTGAATGTGAGGAGCTCCACATGAGAAGTCTCTGTGTGGTGCACATCACCCAGGCTGAATCAAGCAGCAGAAAAAAGAAAGTGCAAGAAAAACAACAGGTATTAGCCCAAATCCCAGAAGAAGGGAGACCCATCTGCCCTAAAAGGGAGCTCTGCGGTGGGCAACCAGCTTGCCAGCAAACAGGGTTAAAAAGTTTGCTCACAGAAAGGTTCTGGATCTAAAGAAGAAAGATTAATCCAAGGTGAGCAACAAAGGAAAACAAAATCTCCATTCTGTAGAAATAATGTGGTCTTTATTTCCACCTGGATGCAGGTGGAGTGAAATTAAGAAAAGAATTCACACATGGGTTATGGCAGATCGGGATTTAAAGGGGCAGGGAGGGCAGCAATTGGGGACATTCCTATTTCCTGGGAAGGACATGAGTCTGACCCTTCCTAGGTGGGGCAAGTTTATTTGGATAGTACCCCTGATTCTATCACTCACCTTATCCCGCAGGAGAGCAGTCACTAAGTCCCAGTCCTCCTTCATTATTGAGGTCCCACCAGTGAGCATAAGCCCCATTCTTTCTGACACAAAAGACCAAATATTTTTCCTGCAATCCTGAGCACCTAGATGACCCTCCCCCACAGTTGCCAGAAGGACTTCCCCCTGTAGAGTCCAGAGTGTTTGGCAAGCTAACTGAGAACCTTGGGAAGTTTGCAAGCCGCTGAGCTGCTGCATGAGAACAGTAGCATGACAGTACAAACTTTGGTGGAGAAGGGGGTGAGCTACCCATCTCCAGCTCCTCAAGAATTCTCAGGTAAATATGTTTTCTTCCCTCTTGGACAACTTCTGAGCTCCATTGGGTGGGCAGAGCCAGTGTTTAGATGACTTTGACTTTTGCCTGAACTTTGGACCTGCCTCCACCACCAGACACAGCTCTCTGAGCTTGATTGTATGGGCAGGCCAGAGTTTAAGTGACTTTGGACTGAACTCTGGACTCTGGCCTCCACTAAGCAAAGCACTGAAGAGTGCATGTGGGAATAGTTAAGGAAAGAGTCATATGTTGATGTGCTTGCATTACTATTAATAATGATGTTATAACTGTGAAACCAATACTCAATTATAAATTTTGAATAGATTAGAAATATTATTTGGAATAGGGAACAGAGTCTGGTCAAAGGGAAACAGAAATGGAGGATTGATTTGGATTTATTTTCCTGGCTTGGCGTGCAAAGCGTAGACTCTGTCACTTTAAGATTCACAAGCATGGCGTGTTGAATATTCCCCCTCCCCTCATGACTGCCTCACTCCATCAGGGTAGAGGCCTTTAGGCTGCTTTCTGCCAGGGTGGGGCTGTGTGCTCTGGGAAAGTACTTTTTGGAAGTTAAGAATATGGATTCTTTCAACTTTGTCCAACATAGGAAGACTAGCTCCAGACCAGATAAGGAGAAGAAAGA